ATTTTTGAAAAAAAATAGCACCCACAGCATGTCAGGTGATTTGACTGTTCCAGCTTTCCTACGCAGTCTCAATGTCACATAAAGATGAAATAGTTAAATATATAGGCAAGTGTGATTTACCTTTTAAGATTTAATTGTTCATATAAATTAATTCAGAGATCATAAAGATGTTTTCTTGGACAATGTCATCCCTGTTTTTGTGGATGTCATTGTAGAATGCGATCATAGTTTCTATGGGTTGGATTACTGTCCCTAAGAGAAACTGTCAGCTCTACAAAGCCAATGCATGTCACCATCTGAGAATTCAGTCATAAAATTGTCTTTGTCATGAGGATTCTTTTTCAGGCGCAGCACTCATTTCTGTTTTCTTGCCCCTTCCTGCAGATCCATTGGAGGAAATAGCAGAAAATTCTCCCCAAACAGCGGCCAATTCGGCGGCTGAGTTGCTGAAGCAGGGGGCAGGTCAGTGAGCACAGCTGCATGTCCACACCTGCTTTGGGGCAGAAAAAAGATTCAGTGACACAACTTCCTTTTGCACTCTCATTATTCAGGTTTCCTTTCCTTTCTGTGTGCTTTGAAGGAGGTTTCCTTTTATAGAAGCTTGCACAGAGCTGGGTGGGGACCAATGTCGGGACACAGACCAGGGCTCCAGAGGCTGAAATATTGGTCCGTCTCAAACAAGACCAAATTCAGTGGAATAAATGTCAAGTCCTGTATTTGGTTTGGGGGAAAATGTAGTAAGACAGGATGTGGGTGACTTGCCTCGCCAGCTGTAAGTGTAAAAATGTTCCGGAGATGTGACTCAACAAGCCGCCCAGCATGAGTCAACAGTTTGACCCCTGCTGCCAGCAACCTGGGTGAGGCAGACACCACCCAGTGCCAGCTCTCCAGAGACCAGGCCACTGAAAAATTTTTATTAATAGATTTTATTTTTTAGAGCAGTTACAGATTGACAGCATAATTGAGAGAAGGGTACAGAGACTTCCCATATAAGTGAACGGCCTCCCCCATTATATAAACATCCCCTACCAGAGTGGTACATTTGTTATACTGATACACCTACACTGACACGTTATAATCATCCAGAGTCCAGTTTACATCAGGGTCCACTTTTGGTGTTGTATATTCTATGGGTTTGGGCAAATGTATAATGACACATATCCAACATTCTGGTATCGTACAGAACAGTACCACTAAAAATCCTAAAAAGCCCTAAAAACCCTCTGTGCTCTGCCTATTTATCCCTCCCTCCCCGCGACCCTCTGGCAACCACTGATCTTTTACTGTCTCAATAGTTTTGCCTTTTCCAGAATGTCCTATAGTTGGAATCATAGAGGATGTAGCCTTTTCAGACTGGCTTTTTTCACTTAGTAATATGTATTTAAGGTCCCTCCGCATCTCTTCATGGCTTGATAGATCGTATCTATTTAGCACTAAATAATATCCCGTTGTCTGCATGTGCCACAGTGTATTTATCCATTCACCTACTGAGGCATCTTGGTTGTTTCCAAGTTTTGGCAATTATGAAGAAAGCTGCTATAAATGTCCACGCGCAGGTTTCTGTGTCAGCATAAGCCTCCAGCTCCTTTGGGTAGATACCAAGAGCACCAGTGCTGGATCGTGCAGTAGTAAGAGTATGTTTCGTTTTGTGAGAAGCTGCCAAACTGTCATCCAAAGTGGCTGTACCATTTTGCATTCCTACTAGCAATGAAAGAGCGTTCCAGTTGCTCCATATCCTCACCAGCATTTGGTGTTGTCAGTGTTTGAGATTGTGGCCATTCTGACAGGTGAAATAGGTACCTCGTTGTTTTAATTTACATTTTTCCAATGACTTGTGAAGCATCTTTTCATGTACTTGTTTGCCATCTGTTTATCTTCCTTGTTGAAGTGTCTGTTAAGATCTTTGGCCCATTTTTTAATTGGGTTATTTTTCTTATGGTTGAGTTTTAAGAATTATTTGTGTACTTTGGATAACAGTCCTTTATCAGATATATTTTTTGCAAATGTTTTCTATCAGTCTGTGGATTGTCTTTTTTTTTTTTTTTTTTTTTTT